TTCGAGTGGGCCTGTTTGTACGTCTGTAGAGGGAGAAGGCAAGTGAGAAAAGAATTTGGCAGGGCATGATTTGCAGCAACCAAGAGGAAATAAAATTAACCCCCTGTGTGCAGTAATTTATATTTTGCTTTGTTCCACTAGCCAGTGCGAACATGGGGATGCGTATGTATACACATGTATGAAAAAAAACAAAAACAACGTTTTTTTTTTTTTTTTTTTTTACAGAAGTGAAGGAAGACAAGGAATAATTATCAGCAAGATATTTTTTATTTATTTATTTTCCCTGGCCATCCACACTACCAACATCGCCAACAAAAGCAAAAACAAATTTTTTTTTCTGTACCTATTTTATTCGAGTTTGTGGTGGTCGTTGAAAGACGGGTGTAGATATATATTTGTATGTAATGGTATAGGCGTCTTTGATGTAAAAAAAGCAATGAGATGGATGAATTTTTCTCTTTTTTTCTTTTTTTTATTGTGGCGCCAGATGTATGTGCTGCCAAAGGAATATGGAAAAAAAAAAAAAAAAGGGGTCGATCTTCAACGGGTGACATCTCGTGCTTTATTTTTTTTTTTCTTTTTCAATGCGTGTCTGGGCGCTGCGACGCGGCATGGTTAGACTTTCTCTTTTGCTGCATTTTTTTTCTTGCTTCCTATTTTTTTTTTTTTCCTGTTTTTTTGTTTTTTTCCAATGCATGTGCTTATGCAAATCATTTGTGTTGCACACTGCGACACGTTGCTGCGCCTTGTAAAGTAAATCTTATTGCACTCACAGCGTCAATATATAGGTTTGGTGGGAGAGGGCTGTTCGCGATATGATTCGGGACCAGTGTAAAGCGTACTGCCAGTGCTCCTACTGCAAGCAGACTGGGGGGCAAATGCGAGGTATCCCGGACAGCATCAAGCTTGCTTCTGGGAAGGGGCGCAGCAGGGATGAACTGTATCTCCGCACTCTTAACCAAACTCTTCGAGCAAGAAGTCTGATGGCAAGCTCGAAGAATGCTTGCAAATTTCAACCGGATGAAATACTGCAAAGCACACGTGGGGATATGGCGAGAGCGGCACTGACCGTTCCAGTACGACGCCGCGATCGCCTACAGGAGCTTCTTATTCTTGAGAACAAGGAGCGGATTAAGGCTGAGCGCCAACGGCGACAAAATCTTCGGGCGATGGGCCTCCCAGACGACGCGGACAAGACATCGCGGGATTGTGCAGTTGACACCCGTGATGACTTTGATGTTGCAAGAGAATTGGGCAAAACGAATGAAGCCGAGGTGGTGGTACCACGGGCGCATTCAGCGGATGAAGATCTGCGTCATGTCCTGAACACCGTAAAAGCCATTACGGACGAACACGACGCAAGGGATTCGAGCAAATCAATAACATCTGATCAGATTCATCGGCTGCGTCGACTCGTGCAGGAGTATGATAACAAGAGAAAGAATACGACTGCTGACTCTCCACTACAGCCCCACGTGGCTGATCATCGTCACCAGGTGTCACAGCCACATATTCAGCAAAAATTTTTTCCGTCTATCCGTGACCGCTCCACGCGTCGCCTTAAGTACAATTCCCATCCGTACGGCACAGGCGTGGTTTGGTTGCCGCTTGAAGAGGACAACACGGATGAAGACGGTAAGAACGCCACATTTACTGCTGCTGGGAGGCTTGACAACACCAGATTGGATGACAAGGCATACGCAGAGCACCAGTATCCAGGAAGCACTTACAACAAATATCTGAACGATGACCCAAAAGCTGCAGAGGGAACGACGTTGAATGATGCTTCTCCACCAACAGCTGACAATCTTGCGGCATCGGCTGACCTGAAGATTCTGGGGAAGGGGAAAAATGCAGAGAATGTGGATCTCCCCGATGCTGAGAGGAAAAAGTCGTTGAAGGAAACACCATCCTATAAGAGCTCCGCTGCGTTCTGGCGTACCACAAATCAAGACCGTGCTGCCCAAATGCAGCGCTTTTTGGAATTCAAAAAGCTACAAGCTGATGCAGCTCGTGTGTACGCTGAGAGTGCAGTGAGGCGTCCTGCTGAGGTTGGAACCGCAGATGCTGTTGCTGCAGGAGATCGAAACACTTTTTGACGCTCATTGTGCATGTGCGCGTGAAATACTTACTCCTTTGGGGGGTGCGAATTTTTTCTCGACCTTGAAAAGGAGGCTGACCTTAAAATTTCTCTTACACAAACTCCCTGTGGCTATGAACTCTTCGTTTGTTTTACCAAAGGGAAAATTTATGATGTATGTTTTATTACTGTTCTCTCCTCCCCTCAATTTCTTTTTTCCTTTTTTTTTTCTCATATTTCTTTAAGCATCTGTTGTCTTTACTTTGTTTCTAAGCGGGCATTTGCATTTTTTGGTTTTTCTTCTTTGTACTTTTACTATTCTTCTCTATTACGATCTTATTCCTTTTGCACCTCGTTCATTACCAAATAATTCCTTGCAGGGAGGTAGAGCTCGGGGGAGAGGGAGATGGACTTGTGGTGCCAATGGTCTGCCTTATGTATCAAAGAGAATCAGGGCGCGGGGGGAACTGCCTAGGAATATAGTGGCCATGAAGTGATTGAAGGATTAGGAAGAAATGCGGGAACCGACGAGGGGGAGTAGAGGTTTTCTGTGCGAGAAGAACAGGGGAATGGATGGGAACAGAACGATGGAGCGGGGGAGAGTTGAACGGCTGGATGTCTATATTAATTTTGTATTTCAAAATATATTTTTTTTTTGGCACATGCACGCGGGAGGGGTGTGGTGTGATGTTTG